TGCACCCACATGCACTTGTGGGTGTTCCATGTTATTGGGAATAGTGTTATGATTATACCTAATGGGTGCTACAATTATGTACTAGCAGTCGTTCATTGCCAATAGGGCTTGAAAGTGATGACGTCGAAATGGCCAGGGAGTAGTAAGTTGACATCAGATTTCTATTTTTGGATCCACTAAGGTGTGACTTTGCTATTGCCTAAGTATGTGGGTGCATAGCAACCCACTCATGTCGCATGCAGTTGTGTGACTTTTATTTCGCCACCAGTTGTAACCCCGCCCCCAGTAGCCAAATCAGTCGGTTTCACTGGCTACATCACCATGCTGTGGGTAAGACCGCTTGAATGTGCTTGGATCCATACAAAAACTGGATCCAAGTGGATCCAGTTTTTGAATTTTTGAAATTGTTGCTATGCTGTGACATAGCACTTTCAAGCCCAATATTGAGTTGAACCTGCGTCTACATTGTACCCGTGTATTAGTATTGTACTACAAACATGAAACTGTGAAGTTAGTTATTGGCCCAGAATATAATAATTGTTATCCTCCTCAACTTCTTTGTCTGTTGCTTTATGAGAAATACTAGGAGTGAACTATTGCAAGAGCTGTGATGCAAAGCTGGTGTGAACTGCGTTCAGGGTCAGTAGGCCTCGGCGTGGATCATGAATAACGTTGTGCATGGATCATGCCGATATCCAGATCAAGGGCTAAAAAGCCCAGGAACCATGGCCTCATCTAATCTCCATGTATACTATTGTAGCGGGCCGCAGTCTCCCTCGGAGGCAAATGCACACGGGTTTCAGTGAACACACTGTAACTGGCAATTGAAATGTAACTATAACTGACAATGAAATTAACTGGCAATGGAATTAACTCACCTTGTACACACTCTCTCTAACGGTCTCTAGGCTACACTGCAATTGATATACATTAGCTCAAATTTTCGGGCAAGGCCCATCATCAGGAATAAGTCTACTGTAGACAAAACAGGGGTTTATATATATATGTGACAAGTACTAGTGGCCAAAGTGTGATGGTATAGCGTAAAATGTTGCAATACCACAGGAAGCGAGATTATAATTCTGTGTGATATGTATGAAGTGAAAATATAGTGCAGTGATAGTGCAGGATTACTAGCGTGAGTACAAAGCAGAACAATACACACTTCTAGCAACACTCACACACATACATACACACACACAGTGCACACATTCTTGCACAAAGTATGGTAATGACAGACATATTTACACATCACCCAACAGTCGCCAACCATTGTCACTGTTCACCCTCCGCAGTTTTCACCATTCGCCCATCTGCAAGTTCTCGCCCGCAGGCAACGGTCATACGTTGACCGCAGAATCATGGAGGCACTATTCATGAGGAAGAGGAAGCCGGCAGTGAACAGTGACAATGGTTGGCGACTGTTGGGTGATGTGTAAATATGTCTGTCATTACCATACTTTGTGCAAGAATGTGTGCACTGTGTGTGTGTATGTATGTGTGTGAGTGTTGCTAGAAGTGTGTATTGTTCTGCTTTGTACTCACGCTAGTAATCCTGCACTATCACTGCACTATATTTTCACTTCATACATATCACACAGAATTATAATCTCGCTTCCTGTGGTATTGCAACATTTTACGCTATACCATCACACTTTGGCCACTAGTACTTGTCACATATATATATAAACCCCTGTTTTGTCTACAGTAGACTTATTCCTGATGATGGGCCTTGCCCGAAAATTTGAGCTAATGTATATCAATTGCAGTGTAGCCTAGAGACCGTTAGAGAGAGTGTGTACAAGGTGTGTGTACAGGATGTATGGATTCAAGTATTGGCTACAGTGGAGTCTCCAAACCTTGAGAAAAATGGAATTAACTGGCTACTTAATGAACTGACTGGCAGGAAAAGAATCGTGAGCAGCAGCTTTTATACAAAGGCAGACTCCGTACGCTAATGTACGGGGATACGCTAACGGGGATATTGTAACGTACGGGAATTTGCTAACATACGGGGATACAGTAACGTACGGGAATATGCTATACGCTAAACACTATACGCTATATGCTGTGAAGTCACCAGCGTGCACAACACAACAATCTGGTGGACCATTCAATGCTTTTGACCCAAAAAATTGGAGTAATACCACAAGGAATGCATGGAATGATCACCTTACCTGAAAAATAGCAATTCCAAGAATGGTGGAAAATCGGCCAATTTTCTGTCATATTTTTATTTTTGGAGGTCTAAAATGCACGGTAACCCCCTAAAATTATATATTTCTAGTTTCTATGAAGTATGAGGATCCCAAAAATAAAATAAAAAGGGCATGTTCATGAAGAAATTATGAAGCTGTGCACTCAATTGTACTTTGCGGACGGGCATTTCGGCGAAGTTCATTTCTGTACCAAAATTACTATTTTTCTGAGTAGTCAATGCTTATGGCCAGATTTTCTTGCTCAAATGCTTCACTGTGATGTGTGAAAGGACTTGCAATCACAAAGAGAAGCCAGACAACTGGTAAATCTGAAATATGACCCCAAAACAAGCATATTTATGCCGAAATCGATAAATACACCCACCCCTAGAAATACACCTCAAACAGCCTTATCTCCGCAGAAACACCCCCTGAATTTTTTGTGGAGTAACATGGGATGATACAGAGAACACTCATCCACAAAAAGGAGGAGGTTTATGAAGAAAAAAAATCACCCCCAAAGGGTTGGAGCCTCCTTAACTATCTCGATCATCCCTGCTAACGTTATTGCCCCCGCTTGTTTTTCATGATCCATTGCTTCTTGCCTCCCCGGTTAATTTCCATCAAGCTGTTTCTGGCTCGTACCAGTTCTATCGCACTTATCAATCATCCTTATTGGCGTCACGCCATCGTGGAATAAAAAGAATAATAATAATAATGATCAGCAGCCATCTCTGCTATGCGTCTACGGCTTTCTATCCTTGCCTCACAGTGCAGTTGTTGGATCACTTGGTCAAGATTTTCAAATCCGGAATTCGCGCCATTTTCCAGGTGCCTTCTACCACCCCATCATCCCCTCTTTTCTGTCGACTTGATCTTCCTACTCCGATCAACGACAAGAGTACATAACCCCCCCCCCCCCCCCGGGGGGTTATGTACTCTTGCTCAGATATAACAGCAAAAATTATTATTTTTTGTTCACAGATGTCTTGGTGCTGAAATGATCAGTAGTCTTTTCAGCACTTTCTTTGATTTAGTCAATGGTCGTGCCACGCGTGGTCAGGCTTCACGTCTGCTTTGTGTCCCGTTTTTGCCGGGTCCTTCCGGTCGATTCACTATTCAGTTCATCGGTAGTGTGTACTGGAACTGACTGCCGCCTGATGTCCGCTCCATCACAATTCCTTCTGCATTAAAGAAAGAAATTACAAACGATATCTTAAACTCTCTTACCCTCTCCTAAGATCTCAAAGACGCATAACTGTCAACATTCCCTCAACCCTGGAACCTTTGCATCCGTTGCATTATTTTCATGAGATATTCATCAAATTCCAATTCGTTACTTGTAGTACTCCCTCATTGATTTGTTTCCGTCTTCTCTTTGTAGTAGTATTCTTTTATTTATAGTGGAGAAACCAAAATAGGCAGACGCCTAATAACAATGGACCCCCTGTGCCTTGTTCATGATTGCATTTTCCTCTTCCTCCTTTTCTTATATCACCACCTTCATCATTTTGCGAGAACTGTGGCAATACGCCCAGTGAGAAGGCAGATTTTGCCTGTGCTTCTGGTGAAGTAAAATAAAGCTAAACAAACAATAAACAAACAAACAAGAGGGAACATTTCACCGGACAGGGGCTCCAGTGCAGGCTCCACACAGACAACGTGGGCTACTTCCCGCAGCAAATTGGCGGTGAGGTCGCGAATCTCATTGCCGCATTCCAGGTAAGCCACCAACTGATCACGACAGTGCATGCGTCGTGTCAAACTGCTTTATCCACATACCAAACATGCATGAAACTTACTAGAAAAAGTACTGAATTCTGCCAATTTTTCTGCCGGCATTATCCGCCGGTGCCTAGTAATCGGAAGAGCCTATCGTCAGGGGAATGGAAATAAGATTGGAACATAAGAACCCCTAGACGACAATCGTAGTAAACCCTTCGCTGACTTTTTGGGGGTGAATTCCGGGTGTTTAAGCACACCCACGTGTACACACACACACGCACACATACACATCGCATGGGTGAGCTACTGCAGCAAGCTTGGCTCGGATCAGCTGGGAAGCATAGTCCTCGGGAAAACAGCCGTAATGGGGGGGGGTTTACTGGTCACGGGGACCGTGATTGGTCATGGGGCCTTATACTCTGGAAAATATGGCTTATGGCACTCACTTCGGCCTGGACGTGTCTCTAATGCTAATGCAGCGCCACCGCGGAAATCCAAATTCCTTGCCTTCTGTGTGGCTGCTGCTGCCATCATGAGTTTCCTTTTGGAGTGGAGACATCCTTTCTTATATTATGGTTTCTTCTTTCCATGTGAGTCAATCTTGCGAATAATGAGCGGGCATGACGAAAGTGCTCTTAGTCGCAGGTTCGCTGCATTATCTCTTCTGATGCACAACAGCACAGCTGGAAGCAGTTTTCAATTGGTCCGGTCCTACCATAGTCTTTCATACAGTTTGTGTATAATATGGCGGTTTGTGTATAATATGGCGGTTTGTGTATAATATGGCGGCGGGTACACTTGTACACATGCCCTTCTCAGCAATAAACACATGTTGGTGGTTGCTAAGTTGGTCCGGTGATAACCGGACCAACCGGACCGGTTGCGGCGGGCCTGCACAAGTTAGCAAATGGAACAAGGCTTTTTAAGTAGGCTGTTACTAACTTGTGTTTGAAGTACCGGTATAATGTTCATACTGACTTGTGTTTGGCTCTGTCCTCGTGGCATCGAGCACTTGTTGGCAAGGGTTTAGCAACATACCTGTGGTGTTTCTTTGTATGCATGCAATTTTCAGACCCTCCACCGTGAGGTCAATATCCAGTGGCACTATACCAGCCGCCATGGAACGCCGTAGCATGGCCACCTCCGTAACCACCTTCGTAACCAGTGCGGCGAGTTTGTTTATCGGCCGCCCGCTGCCAGTACCGCCCGCTCGGCCTCCCGTCCCTGCACCACGGGATCTACGCGCCGTGTCTCTGAACGACTGGAGGCACGACACTGCTGTTGCCAAGGCGATGTGTCGCCGGCGAATGCTGGCTCGGCCCGAAAGCCTCGACGTCCGGGACCTGTCTAAAGTGCATAGCGAGGAGAACAGCGGTAAGACTAACTGTGTGTTTGTCGAGGACTTGCATCCTGGTTTTTTTATAGCGTCCCTACATCCCCTGTGTCTTGTTTTGTGCTTGTCTCCACATGTCTTTTTGTAGGGCTGTGTTCCCAGTAAAAATATACATAAAAATATAAAATATATATAAAAATAGTACGGATGAGTGAGATCCAATCAAGCGAGTCAATACCACGCCGGGCGCTTTGCAGCCCTGGACCTGCCAACGCTGGGATTTGAACTGATGCAGGAGCGCTAGCTTGACTCGCGCCATCGGATTTTGTTGAGCGGCAGTTTACATCGGGTGCCGAAGAACGGAGGGTGTCCACAGGAGGCTGGTCGTGGTGTTATCCCGAGATTCCAGCATGTTTGTTTTTTAAAATGTGCATTTAAAGTGCCTGAAGTCCTTGCTGCAAATAGTGCTCAGCACCCTAATACGGGCAGAGCGTACTACACAAGGCACAACAACAGAGACCAAAAAAAGATTTCTCGTTACTCCGAGTTTCGTGTTCAAAAACGCTCATCAGACGAGCGTAGCGAGAAAGCTTTTATTCAAGTCATGCTGCTAGCCTTCTATATGTATACAGGTAATTTGAACCAGGGAGTACAGTACTGAAGTCTGGCACATTCGAGCTCTCCGCCTTCTCCGTGAAATAATATTTTTTTTAAAGGTTCTGCGTTCCGGCTCTTCCGCCTTCTCTGCGAACATAAGAAAACTAGAGGAAAACAAGCAAACACAAGAAGCAAGAATGACAAGAAAAGCAAAAGATATGAGAACATGGTATAAATGAGCACGGCAATCGACCTCAACAGGGATAGCCGCCTCGGCAACAACAAGAGCAGCTGAGTCCGCGGCAAAGACCTGTGCATAGAGGCGCCTAGCACCCCTCAGGCACATCACACTGGATCAGGCCAAGGCAAAGCTGATCTGACACCGGATTGAAGCCATCACGGCACTGTAGGCCTCTCCGGTCTTGTCGGCGATGAGGGACGCTATCCTCTTGTACAGAGAGGTGGCAGATTTCCCCATGCCTCCCATAGTGGAGAACACGGCGGGAACAAAGCTGAAGTGTTCCACTTCCCGGATTCGCTACTCATAGGCACGGCGCTTAGCTTTTTCGTGACGGGAGTAGCTAGCAGCAAATGAGTTGAGGCGATTCGAGGACGCAAAAGGGTTAAACACCCGGACATTAATGTAGGTGCGCTCGGACAACACTAGTGTGCAATACCTGTATATCTTTGGTTCCACTCGTATGCGTTCTTTTAAATGTTGGTTGCTAGCCTGCTTGTTCTCCAGTGCCTGATGGTGCTGCAGCTGAATCTCTAGAGAACTTTGGTGGATTCACACGTATGTGACCGCATTAGCAGTGCAAACAAGCGTATTCAGAGGTGCACGTATTTTTTTCTCTGTGCGTGGATGCGTGCATGTGTGTGCGTGTGTACGTGTGTGTACGTGCTTGTGGTTGTGTGTGCGTACTTGCATGCATGAGTGCATGAGCACGTGCGCTCCTGCGTGCATCCACCGGTGAGCACGTGCGCTCCTGCGTGCATCCACCGGTGGCTGTGCTTTTCCATCCTTGTTTTTGCATGATTCAGAGTCCAGCGCCCTTCTCCAGAGTTACGCCGGTAGCATTCCTCAGCTTGGTCATGATGACATCATCGGTAGCATTCCTCAGCTTGGTCATGATGACATCATCCAGCAAGCAGAGTACATAGGTAATGTACAGAGCTTTCACACAACTATACACCGCGCTACACAAAAACGGTCTTTCGGCTAAAAATTCTTCCAAATACCGTACTGGCAATATATATGGTCGCAGTGAGGCCATGAAGCGTTACATTGGCACATGTTTACCGCACGCAGGGCGTTACATGCAAAGTCGCACAGGAGCCGTTACACAGGTTTCTATATTGCCGCAGTCCTTTTTTTGCTATTGCCGCATCACTTTTTTGCTATTGCCGCATCATTTTTTTTGCTATTGCCGCATCATTTTTTGCAAACTGCAATGAAAAGATCGCCGCACCCCGCAGGACGCGCGTTACGAACGCAACGAAAATTTGTCGCACTAGCCTGGTCGCGCGTTACGCCGCACCCCCCTGCGTTACGCGTTACGCGGCAACATATATTGCCAGTACGGTAGAACACCGCGGAGGATGTAGCCAGTGTGCTGACAGTGCTGAACACCGCGGAGGATGTAGCCAGTGTGCTAACAGTGCTGAACACCGCGGAGGATGTAGCCAGTGTGCTGACAGTGCTGAACACCGCGGAGGATGTAGCCAGTGTGCTGACAGTGCTGAACACCGCGGAGGCAGAGTGTAATACAAAACACCAAATAGAATACATAAAGTAAAATCTGTAAAGGCGACCACTCGGATAAGGCGACCGCCTGTCCTAGAAGACCACTGAAACCAGGACCACGGGATACCATTTCCAGTCTAATGAACCTGGATAAGGAGACTACCCGGTAACAGAGACCACCTTTTGAAGGTCCCATGAGCGGTCGTCTTAGACAGGTTTCACTGTAAATCCAAATTTTCGGCCCAGGCCCATCTTACTAGTAGTGTTATGAAATTGTGTGAAACATGAAGTGGCTACAGTGGAGTCTGCACATCCTGAGGACAATGACTGGCCCAAGAAATCCAACCTCATGAATAAAATAGCATTGCCGGGCGCTACGCAGCCTTGGCACTATACACACTAGTCTGTGCACTCGAGTGTAGCGCTACTTTATTCCTGCGGTTGGATTTCTCTGCCCAGCACTCCACTTCACTGGCTTGCCGTAGCCAGTGGCCATCTTTGGAAGAAGTCAAGATGTGTTGTTTGAATTGTGTTTTGTACCAGTGCTTGTGTGCATTGATTTGGTGATGTCCCGCAATCGCCATCCATTGCTGATATTCATGCCCATTGACCTATGCACACACAAACACAACCTCACACACGTACACACGCACACGCACACACACACACACACACACACACACACACATAATACATACACGCATACACATGCACACACACACGCACGCATGCACCCCCCCCCCCCCCACACACACACACACATGCCGTAGCGTTGCACATGCCAGTCCTGTCAGCTTTTCGTCCGCTTTTCCTTGCTCCAGATCATGGCCAACGGAGTACGGTGTTCAGGGTTCAGTATCGCCGTAACAACCAAGGAAATAGTGAAGAAGTCAGCATGACTTGGCAGACAGCAGTGATCAAAGTACCGTATGGTTAGTACCGCCGAGCACGTGAAAACGATGCTCAGGGTCAAAATTTGAGGTTTTAAGTAATCGTGCCCCTGTGGTAGCCAAACCCTACAGGTTTCATGTACTTGTAAGAAAACCCAGATGGAAATCCGTCAACAAATGATGCTGTGATGGTGATTTTGTGCCCTGTTTTTATTTTATTTTAACCACAAACGTTATCAAGTTCAAACATGAAATGCGTTTTTCTCCGTTTAGTCGAGTCCAGCTTAGCACCCGTTTCACATGCCCGCACCACTTGTGCGTGAGACCCAGACTAGTGTGCAGCCGGTGACCGGTATACACGCATGTCTGTCATAAGGCGACCACCTGGTGACAGAGACCACAATGTCATTTTGAAGGTCCCGTGAGCGATCGTCTTAGACAGGTTTCCCTGTAGATCACTATAATGATGTATAAATCCAGGAATTTTGCCGCCGGTACTGCAACCCATTCTAGCTGCACACTTTGGGTTTAGTACACTCTTTTGGTACCCGGGATATGCTAGCCTGCTGAAATGGTTGTGCAGAAGTTTCAATTGTGTCTGTATCGAGAAGAGAACGAAAGTGTTCGGTTGCTAAAATGGGCGTTACTTGACTGTGTGGATTGCGTCGGTGCTGACACTTGTCTAGAAATAAAAAAAGTGTGTCTACATCCTTTCCTGTTTTGCCTGAGTTGATGCTATCGTGTCGGACGGTGTATGACGTCCAGCGAAGACTGAGTTACATTGAACTGGATATTATATGCCACCCTTGGGGCTAAACCATTCGGCTAGTAAATGCTTTTTTTAAGAGATTGTTGGGGTGTCAGCGGAATGGATTCTTGCAATGTTTGCATGCTCAGGCAACTCGCAGTGCCAGTCCGTCTTCGAAGAAGCGCACAGCCTAAGGCTGTTGGACAATGCGAATGTACTACAGGTGCTGGGAATGTGCTGCGGGACCCTGCAAAGTAAGTGGGTTTATTTATTTATTCTTGTGTTGTTGTTGTTGTTGTTGTTGTTTTTGTTGTTGTTGTTGTTGTTGTTGTTGTTGTTGTTGTTGTTGTTGTTGTTGTTGTTGTTGTTGTTGTTGTTGTTGTTGTTGTTGTTGTTGTTGTTGTTGTTGTTGTTGTTGTTGTTGTTGTTGTTGTTGTTGTTGTTGTTGTTGTTGTTGTTGTTGTTGTTGTTGTTGTTGTTGTTGTTGTTGTTGTTGTTGTTGTTGTTGTTGTTGTTGTTGTTGTTGTTGTTGTTGTTGTTGTTGTTGTTGTTGTTGTTGTTGTTGTTGTTGTTGTTGTTGTTGTTGTTGTTGTTGTTGTTGTTGTTGTTGTTGTTGTTGTTGTTGTTGTTGTTGTTGTTGTTGTTGTTGTTGTTGTTGTTGTTGTTGTTGTTGTTGTTGTTGTTGTTGTTGTTGTTGTTGTTGTTGTTGTTGTTGTTGTTGTTGTTGTTGTTGTCGTTGTTGTTGTTGTTGAGCTTCATCAACGTCAATGATCCTAAACTGATTACACCAGGTCAGGACACTCAGAGAATAAACATGAATTCTATCCGCTACTTCCTGATGCAGTGAGAGTTGCATCTGCGCCTTTGATCCTCGGTCCTGGAGGGTGGTGTTGGTCCTGCGGATGCGAGAAGCTCGGTCTAACTAGGTAAAAAATGTGAACCGTAGTTTTTTTGTCAACTACTTGCCCGCTTCTCCAATATGCTTTGGTTTTCATTGCCCGGGTGCAAGTTAGCATTTTAAACCCTTCAAGAGCAGGTGGGAATGTATTGTGTTTAAGTTCTGACAAGGCCCAGGAATAGGCAGCAACTGATCTGATCACACCAGTACACTACGCAGTGGTTCACGTGTGCGGTTTGAATGTTTGCTTGGGGTGTGTGGGATGGAGGCACTGTTTGCAAGCTGTACGGTAAAGTGCTGTTTGTCTACATTCTGTATTTCGCGGCATTCAGCGCCGCCATTTGTTCTGCTGGAGCACTGCTCGTCCGGTAGCCTCCTGGAGCTACTGCTGGGACGACGGCAAGTGCAGCGTCAGGTTGACGCACGCTATGACGCTCGTTGCCAGGACGACGACGCCATGGGATACGCGTCGCTGGATGAAGTCGAGGCCATCCCGGCCACAAGCCCCAACCAAGTTATTCCTGTTAGCGTCATGCTGGGTCTTGCTGCACAGCTGGCTCATGGTATGGAGGCGCTAGCAAATGCCCAGGTAAATCTCATCATTGACTCGGATGGAGAGCCAAGGATTAATTTATAGTAGAGAAAACCTCCAGGGAACTACGAGACGTGCTAGCTGATAGCCAGTTAATGTATAGAACGTCAGTACCGTCGGTCAGTGTCGTGGAATGTTATAGCATGAGCTGATTGTTTAATGATTGTTGGTGCTAGTGGACATTATAGCATAACTTGCAGTTCCTTTCTTTACTATAAAATAGTATAAATCTCATAATTATTGCCAACCTGATGATAGCCCGGCATGAACAGAGGGGAACCAAAGCATTCAGTTCGGAAATTTCCTCGGCGTTCATTTGGACTGGTGTGGACTGCGCAGATTTGTGTATCGGTGGTGCATTGAACAATATGACAATGTCATAAATTGTAACGAGTGAGCCAGTTTTTATTGCGGTATAGGGCAACATTCGGGGGTGGGTGGGGGCATGTACCCCGTCCCCGTGTTCCATTCGCAATTATAGCACATTCAGGGGAGGCTCGAAGGACCAAATGTTACAGGTAAGAATTCAAAATCCTATACACGTGCACAGGCACACGCAAATGGGACAACACACCATTAGACGTTCTGGATTTCTCCTTGCAAAGACTTCGACCATAACTGGCATAAACTCAAAAAACAAAACAAAAGGAAGCAAAAAAAGGGGGGCTGGGTAGGGTGCATGTACCCCGTGTTTCATTTACAACTATACCACATTCGGGGGGGGGGGGGGTGCCCTGGGTAGGTGGTCTACAATCATGAATACCGGTATGGCCCCATTTAGGGGAGAGGGGTGCCCTGGGTAGGGGTGCATGTACCCTGTGATCTATTTCTGTGCCATAACAGTACACGTCATCACCGGTGTTTGTGTCCCCCACACTGCTAGATGGTCCACGGCAGGCTGTGCGCTGGCACCACACTGGTTACTGCGGACATGGCGGTGAAGATTGCTGGCATGCGATCGGCAGGTTGTCAGCCAGCAGGGGAGGAATCCGATAGCTGGGTGAGTTGATCCCAGTGAGTGCGTTCGATTGTGCCCTCGAATCGCTTCATGAATCCATTCACCGTCGTGGCGAATCGCCCCTGGCTATTCACATCACCCCATGTGAATGCTATTCTAGTCTGGGATGAATGGCTTCCGAATCGATTCCAGGGCTCGTGACATGAAATCAAACGGCGAGGTTCCACTCTTGAATTAATTCAAGTGCGTAATCGAACGCTCTCAGCGGTAACATTCCACTATTGCAGATTTTCTGTTGAAAAAAAGAACTGACCGCATTGTGTTGCGTACGCCTGCATGATCCTTCCCTGCCTTGCCTCTGTTCGGCGCAGGCACTAGCGAGCATGTGAATTCAGTTCTCTTGATTGTAAGTTTCATCTTAATTGTACATCAATGTGCATAGAATACTCGCGTGTGAAAGACAACGTTAATACGGATCAAACTGCTCGCCATTGGGGAAGTTCCAGAGTGAATGCCGCTGTCTGATGATCGCTGATATGCATCATGTGATATGCATCATGTGATATGCATCATGTGATATGCATCATGTGATATGCATCATGTGATATGCATCATGTGAAACTTGAAGTAACAGCTACACTGCCTTTCACATCCGTTATTTGTGTATCTTCAGTACTTGAGATTTTGCGCTTACATCATCCAATGAGATGGATCTCAGGTACAAAATTGGCATGGCCCAAGTCCAGTGAACATGTTTGATAATTTATAATGATTCTTCTTCTCTTCTTCACAGCTATTTCGGTGGCATGCAATGGAGGTGCTGAATGGGACAGCCGAACATTCCGCTGACAGTGATGTGTAAGCCAAGTGATGACTGTATGGCTTGTACATGTATAATGTACATTATCTCTATGAATCCAATGAATGAACCATGACGCTCGTCCCAATACTGGTCCAGCCATAGCTATCTGGAAAGAAACCTGGGATGTGTGTTTCTTGATAAAGTACAATGCATATAATACTGTAGATCTACCTTGCGTGAAACACTAGAAACACACAGCCATGTGTGGGCATGCGTACGTGTCTGTGTGTGTGTGGGGGGGGGGGGGGTGTCTGTGTGTGTGTGTGTGTGTGTGTGTGTGTGTGTGTGTGTGTGTGTGTGTGTGTGTGTGTGTGTGTGTGTGTGTGTGTGTGTGTGTGTGTGTGTGTGTGTGTGTGTGTGTGCAGGGACTAATTTAACCGGTATCGCATCGCAGTTTGCGACGCAAAACACAGTGTCTGCGATTCGAAGTTCGTAGTGAGTCGTGGTAAACTGCGACACAACATACATGTTAGCCAAGTATGGCCCTGGACATAGACTTGTAGTGCACGCGTAGCGCATGCACATGTGTAGCTTTACAGTGTGTGTGGCTGGTTTGGCGCCACGAGATGGCGCGCCATGCACTGTGACTAGATTAGACTGTGTGTGTGTGGTTGTCCAGCCTGCACTGCAGCACTGCAGGTAGATTTTACACCATACGCACGCGCGGGCCGCGGGACCATGGCCATATGTCACACTATCTCCGCACGCGCACCGCAGCACGTGCACTTGGAAACTAACTAACTTACATGTACTTACTTACTTGAAGTGCAGCCCAGGAAGCACGAGGCGAGTGTCGACAAGTACTTCACCTGCTTTTGAGATTTAGACCGCGTTGCTTCACTAGCAGTAGGCGTCTCGACCGTTCAGGACTTATCTTTGTAAAATTCTGCTAGCCTTATTGATGAAGCCTCTTCACTGCCGGCATGTCTGTGAAGCAAGGTACTGTGGACAAGTGGATTGCTGAATTTGATCCCAAAAAAGAATGGATTCGCGCAGAGTCGAGTGGTGGAGCTGTGACCAAGATATTTTGCAAGATGTGCAAGGAGAAGGCGTCCTCGCTTCGTGGTTTGAGGAATTACAGCACGGCGTTTGTTGACGGTATAAGTGGAAGTGCACTGAAGACTGCATTGTCGACGAAAAAAAACTGCTATGCAAAATTGTTGCGTTGCTATGCAAACGTCGGGGTGTGTAGCAATTATTGCTATGCAATTTTTTGGAAGTAAATTAGTCCCTGGTGTGTGTGTGTGTGTGTGTGTGTGTGTGTGTGTGTGTGTGTGTGTGTGTGTGTGTGTGTGTGTGTGTGTATGTGTGTGTGTGGGGGGGGGGTGTATGTGTGTGTGGTGTGTGTGTGTGTGTGTGCGTGTGTGTGTGTGTTTATGTGTGTGTGTGTGTGTGTGTGTGTGTGTGCATGTGTGTGTGTGTGCATGTGTGTGCGCCTGTGTGTGTGCCTGTGTGTGTGCGTGCATGTGTGCGTGTGCGTTTGCATGCGCTCTCTGTGTGTTTTTCAGCTGGTCTTTTGCTGTTGTCATCTACGAGATCATGACACTTGGTACGTAGCCAGGATGCAATACGTCAATGAAACATACAATCAGGCTGTTAGAATCACACATGCACACACAGCTCACAGAGGAGAGAAGGTGTAGAGAGTTCTTTCTCGGAGCCCAACGGCAAGGAAAAAGAGAGAATTTTACTGTTTATAAGTTGACCCCAGTTTTGAGTCGACCCCGGTTTTAAGTCGACCCCGGTTTTAAGTCGGCCCGGTTTTAAGTCGACCCGGTTTTAAGTCGACCCCGGTTTTAAGTCGACCCCGATTTTAAGTCGAGAAAACTTGGGGAATTGCCTGAGCCGCAATATCCTAAAGACCTTTCTCGGAAAGCGCAAACCAAATTATTTTGAATTATTCGGAAAGTCTTGAGGTCTGGACTTTTGAACACGCACTATCCAACGTACGTATAGTGATGTATGTCCGGTGTAACTATGATGCCTGCACAGGCAATTTGCCATACGACACGTTTGGCGTTGACAAGGATTCGCTCCCCAGTTTCCTCTCTTCCGGCGGCCGTCTCGAACAACCCAAGCTAATGTCACACTATGTGTGAGTACTGGAGGTGAAGCTGTGATGTGAGAAGTGCTGTTTGTCATGTGATGTGAGATGTGCTATTTGTCATGTGATGTGAGATGTGTTATTTCAACTTATTTGTCATGTGATGTGCGAGGTGCTATTTGTCATGTGATGTACATTAGCATGTGTATGTAATGGCCACTGTGTTTGCTCTCTTCTCGTATCCATACAATAATGTACATTGCGGACTGCAGTATTTGTGTGCTCGTAACTTTGGGGCCCACAGTTGGGTGTCTTTCTTTTAGGGAGAGACATGTTGTGGTGGTTGTTGTTGTTGTTCCACTTCACCTCCGATCCGCAACACACAAACAGCCCTTGGCTACACCACGTACAGCGATTTTTTCAGATTTTCACCCAGGAGGAGGAGGGCATCATCAGCGATCAAGGTCTGTTTGTGTGTTGCGGATTGGAGGTGAACTAAAAAGATGACAATGCTACAATGGAGCTTCAAAGATCTTAAACAGAGTTTTTATTGTTGTTTGTTGATCACAGCTACTCCCTGATGAAGGAATGCTGGAGCCAAGCTCCGTTAGACCGGCCAGACTTCCACTCCATTGTCGACACTCTGGATCGGCTTCTCAATGCTGAAGTAAGCTGCAGAGAATAGCATGTTTTTGGTCTGCAAATTTATCCGCGCGGGAGTCCATTCCGTGACAAGACAAGGACTGATTCATACACATTGAGCATGCGTATTTTAAAACAGATGAGAGAGAGAGACAAATCCGAGAGAGACAGATGAGAGAGAGACAATGCGGAGAGACAATGCTGCGGCACTTGAAACACTATACACTACGTACGCGGTGTGCGCATGCATGCATGCTTCCATAAGATGTGTGTTCTATGCTCTTCTTTATTGACACAGTACATGGAAGTCTGAGGATCTCACTTTGGACGGTTACAGCACCCCGCCCGATCTTGGACTGCAGGATTGCCAGTCACGCCGGGAACCGTTGATCGATCTTTGTAAACATGCACATCGCTTTCTCAATATATTCCGCTGATTGACACTGGTGATGTGGTAACGGTGCAAATGGCACCTCCTCCAGCCATGTTCCATACATAAACTATTGACGATGTAGCTCCACTGAAAAGGGCGTTATTCGCAAGAAGACAACGCCCCACCTCCTCCAGCCATGTTCCACACACAAACTATTGACGATGTAGCTCCACTGAAAAGGGCGTTGTTCGCAAGACGACGACAACCCCCCCCCCCAAAATGAAAAGGACCCGAACAGGATAGACTCAAGTGGAAGAGCGACTTTCGGCGCTAGAGCAACAACACATACCGTCACCTACTGAAGTGCACAAAACAAGGCCTTGGGTGCCACCAGTAGGTTATGCCTTGTTAGGTCTCCGCTGCATGCAGGCTGCTGGCACACCAACTTGTGTTTAACCTTATACTAGAACACCATGTATGCATGCACTGTTGGCCAGAAAATACTCTATTTCAATCCGGGGTTTGTTTCCGGTACCCCTTTCTGGCCATTGCCGCATTGATTTTTTCTAGCTAGCCGTTCCAACTTTGAATCAGTACTCTCCACTTCACTGTTACTATAATCAGTTATCTGAGTGCAGTGACAAGATAGCCATAGCTTGTTTGAAGTTGTTTCTCAACAAATATTCTCACTATGATACTGTACTTGCAGATTATAATACAGCATAGATGCATACTGTAAAAGCAGAAATTTTCGGTGGTGTAATATTTTCGGTGTTCTCCAAAATCGGCGGTTCGGCGGAGGGAAATTTTCGGTAAACCCACGTTCCAGGTAAGTGTACTACTAGTACTATACCGACATTTTCGGTGCGTTTTATTTTCGGTAAAAATTTCGGCACCGAAGTTACCGAAAATAAAACACCACCGAAAATTTCTGCTTTTACAGTACCGGTACGCGGTAGCTTACGTCTCCCCCCCCCCCCCCCTTTCCCATAGTCTTTACTGGCACACGGTGAGTCCAGTGACCGGGTTTTTTCACTATTGAAACATCTCTAACATGTGCGTGCTGGTTCTGGTTCTTCTGTCTTCACCTCCACGCACATGCACTGCTCACAGTCCATATTAGGAATTGTGAGGGGCGTATTGATTCGTTAACACGAGATAGAAACACGCATGGATTGATTCGTTAACACGAGATAGAAACACGCTTGGATGGTAAACTGTGGGAATAACCGTAGTTTTGAGTACTTGTCCATGTGAAACTATCCATGAACTGAGGCGAGGCCAGAGCACACTAGTTAAAGGGGAAGTCCGGTGAAAAATTTAAATTTCACAGTCCGTAGAGTTCGGGGCGCTGAGTCGAATGGTCTTTGTCCGAGGAGGCTGCGGCTTATGGTTCGTCAGATACGCCCAATCGAACATGTGCGAATTTGAGCGCGCATCACCCAGATCCAGGTGATGACGTCACAGCGTGCAGCCAGGTAGCCACACCATCTAGTTGTGTACAAAATGGCCATATTCGGAGCGCGTTCGATTGGGGAACCGTTTACCGCAGCTTCTTCGGACCAAGACCATTCGATTCAGTGTTACAAACACTACGTACCCTGTGATGTTCAGCTCGGTAAACCTGGAGGTTATACCGTATTTTGGCCGTTTCCGAGTTGGACTTTTCCGTTAGCCCGTCTACCATGGTCTACATGGTCTATGCGCTCTGCGCTGCGTGCATGCAGTGCGTGCAGTGTGTTATCTAGCTGTAGTGCAGTCAACAAACTCATGTCACAACTGACACAAGACTCAGAAAACTAGTCAACACACGGACTTGTCATGTACTGCACTCGTATCAGTCCGACAGTCGTACAGTCATGTAGTCAGAGAACGTGCGTTTCTCCTTGCCGGTGCCGGTGGTTGTGCTTTGAGAAAGAAAATTTTAGTTTTCCGCACCCGCGGCGCCTCATTATTTTATGCTACAGCGATGAGTGCACAACCGTGACAAGTGACAAAACAGCGAACAGCTCTCGGACCTAGAACTTTCAGATTCCATAGCGTTGCGAGCGAAGAGTCGTGCCCGTGGTTCAAAGAGCCTGCACTGTTCTCCAATTGAGTAGTCCGAAATATTCCAAGTTCGCACCAAAACATCACCATGTGGCAGGCTACTGGAGTCTAAGCGAATCTAATCGGTATGGAACAACATTTAGAGCACTCGCATCACTCTTCTCCATTTTGGCGACCCTGCTCTCCAGCGATCTGATAATTACATCAGCCTCGTCTGCAATAGCTGCTGCTCCTTCATCAGTCGGAAACTCAGTAGCGCTCACTCTTGACCGGCCCGCGCGGCCATTTCTTCAGCTGACTAGGTTCTCAGCCCCAGACCGAACTCGTGAAGGTCAGCCATGGCTGCATCCTCACTCTCACAAGGAGTTACATGTCTTCGGGGTCGCTTGCACCACCTAATATCAGTCGCCAAATCATTTGAAATAGCGTGTCAGTAGTGTTGAAACGAGCGTATCTATAACAAACGAGCGATCAGTTCCACTAACGAGCAAGCTATCGAGCGAGCTAACGAGTTTCATTAATGTGGCAAATATGATTTTTTGAATAAAAAATTTCTAAGTTTGATTTTTTCAGCTCGTTCAAATTATCACCGCCGGCATTTGGGGTTGCTGCTGCTTCACTTCGGACTGCTGTTTGGTGTCAAGATGTCTTTTCAGCGCCGTCATCGAGTTGCCTTTGTAAGAATAGACCGTTTTGCAAAGATTGCAAGTAGCCCTGGTCTTCGCTGCATCGCGGGAGAAAACTTCAAAACGACTGAGCGTAACTTTCACTCGAATGGAGAGGTGACCGAAGTACATGTATATCCTGCGACAGGTCAGCAGATGCAGAACAAGACATCAGTAGAGTCCACCAAAGCTGCCACGACAACTGAAACAACTCAAGTGTCGTGCAGGCGCTAGGCATACAGTTGCGCAAGCTTTTCATGTGAGACCGCGGCCTTGTCGACATGTACTGCCATGTGTACGGAGTGCGGTGTACGGTGTTCGTTAGTGCAAACGAGCTGGCCGCACAAACGAGCCGAGTTTCTGGCGAGCGAGCTAACGAGTATCCGGTGAGATCGTTTCAACACTAACTGACACTATTGCTTTCACGCATTCCTTTTGACCTAGCTGCACGCTATGACGTTGCAGAGGGTGTGGCGCGGCCGCATGACGTCATGGCGCAGCCCCCGAAACTCAGTTTTTCAAACGGAAATATCTCGAGAACGCTTTGTCGGAGACACGTGGGACCAACACCATTCGACTCAGCGGCCGAAACTCTACCGACCCTGAAATTTAAATTTTTCACCGGACTTCCCCTTTAAAAAACAGTAGGTGCCGTCGCTGACAGGCGGCTGTACACCCGGCCAGGCGAGAACCTCAGTCGGTACGGGTTCTTGCCTGCATGTACACAAAACGTCAGCGCAAGCCGGGTCATGACGGGCACATCCGTCGTTGGTGCGCCCCGCGCAGTAACCATGGTAACACGCGCAGACAGAAAGCATGAGCACAGGAATCTAGTCGGCGGCGGGCTACATGTCCAGCCAGTAGTCAAACAGGCCAAATCAGAGTGGCACGGGTGTTCCTCAGCACAGCATTGCGCCGGTTACTCGCTAACACAGCCATAGCTTGAAGTCTGATCTGTACTGGTCGTGTCAAGACGAGATCGCTCACACTTTTGCCGGCGGTATTGTGTACTCGAGTCGTCTCCTCACCGCACCTACAAGGGCTTGTAAGTAGCACAAATACTGCACTGGCTTGGACATACAGCCCTCTCCGCAGTTTCATGTGCTCTTATCCGCCGCCCTCTTGCTGTCGAGTTCTCGACGTGCCGTCTGCCGAAGCTGTTCGATGTGTGCCGCCTGGGCCTCACGCTCCGCCCTGGCCAGGTCTAGTCGCTGCTCAATCTTGGCTTCCTTGGCGTTGATGCCCTTCAGTTTCATCATCTCCTCATACTTTCCCAGCAGCAGCTCCTGTGCAACAGAACATACACACACAGCCGCACACACACACACACACACACACACACACACACACACACACACACACACACACACACACACACACACACACACACACACACACACACACACACACATATATATATATACGTGCATACGCTCGTATGTGTTTAGTAGTCTAGATACAGTGCAACGAGTGTTAGTTTCCAAGATCTTTACAAGACTGGCGAACACTAAATGTCATGAAGAAAGTGAAGAGAAAGGAGGTTTATATAGGAAAGAGATTGTGATAGAAGACTGTGCAATGAAGTTTGTTGTTTTGTTAGATATCTGACGTGTGCTGTTTGGAAGAAGTGTTTGGATGCAAACAGAACTTACAAGAGATGAGTAAAGACTACTTTTCTACAATAGCGTTGTAGGCGAGGAGTGCGTAACATCAAAAGATGTCGTAATGTGTATTGGAACTATGCTAGCCAAACATTACGTAATTATTATGGTAGCGAAGTACGTGTAGTAGGTATTACAATGTGTGCGAGAGTATGGTGAATCAGTGTTTGTGATGATGAGGAAAATATGACGTGTACATGCAAACAAATGATGATGTCATGATGCGAGAACGTCAGAGACGCTACAGAGCTCCCCTCCTAGTGAATGAGTAATGAGCGATAACTAGCGCGATAAAGTGAGAGCAAGCAAATGGGATAAGCGAGAGAGTGTCAGAAATAGGCGGGAAATCTGACTTGACGACCAGCTCGTGTTTGGCGTGGCGGAGGCACGTCGAATGCGAGCGATGGCGTCGGCTTGGTCGGATGGCAATGGTCGACAGACTGGTTGTCATGGAATGCGGGTTTGAGTCGGTCGATGGATACTGTGTCGGAGCGGCCGTTGAGGTCGAGGCGGAAGTACTTATCATGACGTTCCAGGACTCGGTGTGGACCAGTGTAAGGACGTTGGAGGGGCGTTCGTGTTGCATCTGTGCGAATGAAGACATGAGAGCATGTCGAGAGGTCAGCTGGAATGAACGGATGCTGGGTGGGTGGCTTGCGGGGTTGTGTAGGGCGGAGCTCGGACATGGCTTGTTTGAGGCGGCTGACATAGGACGTCGGATCCGGAAATGGCTCAGGCTCGTCAGTGAGGAAATCACTTGGCAGGCGGAGGTGGCAACCGTAGACCATTTCTGCAACTGAGCAGTTGAGGTCAGCCTTCAGGGAGGAGCGAATGCCGAGCAGGACTAGTGGCAGATGTTCCGTCCAGCGCTGTGGATTGTCGGAAGCTCGGAGTGCAGCTTTCAGTTGTCTGTGAAAGCGCTCTACCATGCCGTTGGCAGCCGGGTGGTAAGCCGTTGTGCGAATGCGAGATGTGCCAAGTAGTGACATGAGCGATGACCACAGGGATGACTCAAATTGGGCACCTCGGTCGGTTGTGAGCACAGTGGGAACACCAAATCGGGCGACCCAGGTGGCAACAAACTGGCGAGCGACGGTTTCGGCTGTAATGTCGGGAATAGGTACTGCTTCGGGCCAGCGAGTAAAGCGATCTACCATCGTCAAGAGGTAGCGAGACTCACTAGAAGATGGAAGCGGGCCTACGATGTCGACATGGACATGGGAGAAACGGGCATCAGGTTGCTTGAATGCACTCACGGGAGATGTGGTGTGGCGCTGAACTTTAGACTGCTGACAAGCGTGGCAGGAACGACACCACTCACTAATATCCTTGTTCATCGCGGGCCAG